ATTAGAATACTTTCGTAAGCATATATTATAACGACGAGGTAATAAATGAAGTACACCAATCAAAGGAATGAAAACAAATGTGCAAATTTGAGTAACATTATCATTGTAGATCTTTCAAGTCTTGATCATCTCCATGTCGAATGAAGGGTGTTTTGCTTTCTCTATTTCCTGCTATGAGCCACTGAGCGTCATCCGCAATTCCTTCCACCTGCTCATGAATTACCATTCTTTCATTCAAGGACATGATGAAAAGAATCGAACATACTTCTTTTGGTGCATAATGTGCAGCTCTCACTCTTCTCATCACGTCCGGGTTTCTAGTCGGATGCCCGAAAACATTCTTTTTCCTATAGACAACATGCAATGACGGTTATTTCTCCAGTTACCTCTGTTTAGTAGTCTACCATATGTCTGTTCACAGCAAGTCTCTGGGGCTACGTAGCTGCTCAAGGATTCTCCTCATACATCCTCCGTATTCCGACTGCCATATCCAGATTTGAGCACGGAGAACAACAACATAAATAGACAGTCGTTGCAAATTTTGGCCATAGCTGTGATTCAAGAGAAAATATCTTCTGCATTTAAATTTTGCATAATTTTAAACCAGTATTGATGGCTGTATTGCACTGTTTTTAGTAGTATGTCCACCTGGCGAATTCGCCTGCAAATCTGGCAACCAGTGCCTACCAGTGAAACAGTTTTGCAACGGTGTACCGGAGTGTCTTGATGGTTCTGACGAAACAAACAGTTTCTGCAAGGGATACAGTAAGCTGCTTTGTAGTCCACTTGATATCGATGTTTGCTTCTCTCTTTAAAGATTTCAGAACATGTGGCGTGAGTCACATTCCATCGAACATAGTGCCAACAGATCAGGACCTACTGAAGAGTCACCCTGCGAAAAGTGGCAGTTGGCCGTGGTCCGTCAACTTATTCCTACCGTACTATTATCCGTTTTGTGACGGCACCTTAGTATCCACAGGATGGGTACTCACCTCAGCTTCATGCTTCCAACAGTAAGTGGTTACTATCCCTTGCAATACAGCACGTTAAATATAATTTTATGTCAAAATGTCCACCGTATCTGTGAATCTCATGCAATCGTTAAAGAACTGCAATGAAACTGATCCTCTATCTGAGGAATAAATGAAAGACGAGTTTCTTTTGAGAATATCCATTTCCAAAACAGATCTACTCATATAGAAATTTTTCGGTTAAAAAATGGGTCCCTGAAAAGACAACGAATTTGTCAGAGAAGTGGAGGATGAAGATTTTCAGACATTCCAATTACAAAATATAAAGAAAACAGCCAAGGTTATCGAAGACTCGAACAATGCAGGAGACAGTTGGCGCTTTATCGGACGACCATACGACGTTGAAGATGCGGAATGTCTCAATAATCTCTGACAGAGCTGTGATGCAATCTATTTGCAAGAACTATAATACCTAGATCTCTGCGTAGAAGACACACATCCCCTTTTCCTCCACACACTCACCATCACTCTAGTAGCCACAATATTGTAGCGCCCGGTCTTCAACAGCAAGGTTTGGCATGCCATGTTGCATATGAAGGAAGGAAGAGCTTCAGAGCGAGACAATTAAAATGATCAGAGTTGGTGGTTAGACGCTGTGGAGTGCTCTAGAAAAAATTTCGTTGATATCTGGAATTGAAAAGATACTATCAAGTTGGAGGAGTCAGAAGCAATCGTAGTGTTCATAAAGGACAAGAAGAAAGATGGTGAAGAACCGTCACCCAATTTGCCTGCTCTCACAAGTCTACAAGCTGTTCACTAACAGGCTGTCACAGAGTCTGGAAGAATACCCAAGAGAACAGGTAGGATTCCAACTGAGTTACAGCACAGCGGATAGCATTTTAACCTTAAGTCAACTGCTCTAACATAAAAGGGAATTTTATCTTCCTCTGTGCATGGGCCTCATCGTCTATGAGGAAGCTTCGATATGACACTATGTAACGTAATGCAATGTAGACCGCCCTGGCAGAACATGGCATCAACACACCTTACATCAAAATGCCAATGCCAGTGAAGTCTGGCTGCTTCAAAAGTATCATGTTGTTAGATACTCCTTTCCAGATTCCCGCAGAGAATGGCGTGAAACAAATAACGTCATCTCCTCAAAACTTTTCACTACATAGTTGGTTAATGCTGGTCCGAAGCATGAACTGGAAGGATGGGACTAACATCAGTGGCGAACAGTTCAGCTGCCTAAGGTTTGCTGATGGTGCGGTGTTATTTGCAGAAAATGCCAGTCAGCTACAAGAGGTGTTACAAGAGCTCGAAGGAAACAGTTCGGAGGCCCGACTGCGAATCAATCGGTTAAAGACAAAGGGGCTACGATCGAATGCCCTGCGAAGATCGAGGTAATATTAAACAGTGAAAATACCGAAGAAGTGGATAAATGCATTAGCGTGAGCAAAGACATCAGCGTGCGGCATGATCAGTCTGAAGAGCTATAAAAAGAGGGCCATCGGCGGGTATTCCGTTTCGTTTCCCTCAACAACATAAGGGAAAAACTCCGGTTCACGTCTTTAACTGTACCGTCCTTCCGGCAATGCTGGATGGCCATTATACCTGGTCACTCCCTAAAGCTGAACAAGCTAGCTATCTGTCACTGAGAAAGTCCTGAAAAGAAAGGGGTTGGGAATTTCATGTCGCGATCACATCCCCAACAGGGTGATCAGGGAGCGAACGGGAGCGAAGGATTTTTTCGTCGAAAGAAGTGGGAAGCAGCTACAGGAAACCATGTACGTAGTTCAGCTCAATGACGAGAGACGGCCGACGATGTTCGTCAACTGGCATCCTCGCTGGCGGATGAGGCCGCTTGGTCGCCCCTCCCCCATGACGGTATTAAAAATATATCAGGAGCCTGAAAGGCCGCGTACGGACGGAGAAAATACGAAGTTTCGAGGATTGTTGGCTGTTGTGGCCAGCACAATTCGTCACGGATTAGAGGCCGATCCAAGGAAATTTAGCTACCATTTTTTAAAGCTCGCACTATGGTTTTCACCCAAAATCATTCCTAGATCGCTTAGAAGAGATTTTCCTTGTTGCACAATGTATTACAAGCGTTTATTATAATTTACTTTCCGTTATCGTCGTTAATATTTCCATCCTCTTTCATTCTTTAACAGATCCTTGTTCTGATATATTTTCTACATTTCTCTGAAAATAATATAATAATTAATTAAAAACGAGAGACCTGAGAACACCACTTGTACCGTTACTGAGCAGTATAAGTTGAGTTCCTGCGCGTAACAAATGGTCACGGTTGTTTCTGTCATAGTCGTTATCTCAGATCAACGAACTTGAACAGATCATCTGTCGAAAGGGATGATATCTGGTCCGGTTGAATTGATTTTCATCAAGTATTGGACAGCATCGGTATTTGCGGCTGAAGGAGAGGTCAGATCCTTTGTTCGATGTTCCCAGTCCTTGTAATACTTGCACATTGGTACTCACATCCGTCACACTAATCACTCACCATAAGAGCATTAGATAGCTAGATACATTTTCTGTTCAACTCCTGACTATATTTGTCTGCAGTTTTCCCTCTTTTGTTATTTGTTAAAGGGGAAAACCCTCTCCCAAAAAACAACCATTTTGTACTTTTACTATACAAAAGTGATCATTTAGACGAAACAGCTTCTACGGCAAATATTTTGTCAGTATTGGTGGCTACGATGTAGATGCCGAAGAACCGTTTGCACGTAACGTTCAAATCGCCGCAGCTTATATCAATCCAGATTTCAAATACGTAAATGGAGTACCTCTTGAAGATACGATGCTACTGCGTCTGGCTGAAGAGGTGCCTCTAAACGAACGTATTAATGTTGCGTGTTTGCCGTACATGTTCGACTACGCAGCTCCTGCTGGAAGAAAATGCGTTGCTACCGGATGGGGAGGGATTGCAGGTACCAATAACTATTCAGGAAACAATTTTTGCTAATAAATACCATTTTTTTTCCATTGGTAAAATGTATTTGCTACTGTTAACACTAAAATTTAAGAAACGATTTGTGACTGACAAGAGATCATAGCATGAAAATTAATTTCGGCAAGCTCTTAGAAATTTTTTTTCTCGGTTCCGTTATGAGCATCGTTCAGAAGTGCATGAAGTGAAAAAAAGAAAATCGTTTCTGTTCAGATTAAGTCAGATGAAATCCGTAGGATATAAAAAAACGTGGCTCTTTCAGAATACTGAAATATGACGATCTATTTAATAATAAATGTATGCTTATCAATCAAGTTCTAAACCAGTGACCTTAGCTATGGTCATCACCTTCAGTAATGAAAGAGTAGTATTAATTCGTAGCATGTCAACAAACAAAGGACGATGCTCAGAAATGATTTAATTCCTAAATGTTTGCGGAAAGTGGAAATTGCGAGCCATTCCTTTCGGTTGATGAAGATGCAACGGAGATTTTTTTTTAATCTGATTGTCATAGCTCAGTCATTTCAGCATTCCGTATGCAACAACACAGCGTTCAAGTGTTCCCATTGGGTGCTGACTTCACCCTTTATTGAACAGTGCCTGTCACACAGACGTAACAGCATTAGAAAATCAATTTATAGAGTTCCGAAAAGTTCCGTGAATTTTTTACGTAAACCGACTACTTTGCAACCCAGAAGGAGCATAAGTAATCGTAATGATATAGACATCTAGCAAAAGAGCCATAAGGAGTGTGCGTATGCCTTGCGTGCATTAGTCTGCTCATGTAATTAAACGAACTTCCTGACGGTTATGTCTTTTCGTGCATTCCCTTTGATTAATTTCTGGATTTAACAGTGAATAAACCTTCGTTATAACAACCAAGTTAAGCGGCTTGCCGGATAAGGAGGAGTGGACAGGCAGTAACCAGCGTAGCGTAAAAGTTTTTCATTTCAATTGCTAGTTTTTGTTGAGGGACGAAGGCACTGCTTTGTGGTTCGTTGTGGTCAGCGTACGAACAGGTCACTGATTTGGAGATAATTGGAAAAATATGTTCTTTCGGTCCGATCATGCTAAAGCCATGCGATTTCGCATCGGAAATTTGTAATCGTTTATGGTTATAATATTTACTCTTTGAATATTTAGGAACGGACTATCCTAACGTGCTACAGGAAATTGCGACAGAAGTCATTAACAACAAAAATTGTGCTGAACTGATGAACATGAACAGCGCGGATGTCAACGGCACGATGTGTACGAAAAGCGAAGATTCAGTTAAATCATGCTACGTAAGAATTCTTTGCTAAGGTAGATTCTTTGATAGCCTATTAGAATGTTTAAGGGCAGCCCTGGAGGACCGCTGACGTGTCAAAACTACGTTGGGAAATGGATGCTGCAAGGGATAACTTCTTACGTTGGGTGCTATCTGCCCCAGGCGACACCAGTTGTGTATAACCGCGTGTCGAAATATCTTCCTTTTATCTATAGCACTGTAATTCGAAATGATTAAGTCGAAAGATGGAGTAAGTCATAAGTGTTGCTATCATTCAGCAGTTAAATCTTGGTTTTTTGCAATTTACTGTTAACGCAAATAATAAATTGGTATAAGTGTGTCACAACCGTTTGATGTGCGTACAACAGCAGTAAGTTATAGTTATTCCGTTGTTAAAAGTGACGGCACGAACCTTGCATTGACTATTATCCTACAAATGAGTAGGCTTGGCTGTAAATCGATATTTTGTGGCGAAGGCTATTGTAGTATTGTTTAAAGAATAGTACTACTATCGACCCAGCGTACAAATCACAAGTGTTTGCAGAATTAGCCTGAAATAGCCTGAAATTTCGCAGATTATGAACCAAGTAGTGCGGACTTAGTGATTCGAAATGGCGAACAGAATTTGTATCGATTTTTGAAAATCTGCTGTTGCTATGAGATCATAACTGCTAAACGACTGCTATTCGCATATATGGAAGAAAACATAGTTTTAACTTTATTTTCCTACAGGCGGGATGGAAAATTAGCAGTTTGCTAATAAATCCATAATATCAGGGCAAAACTTTTCAACGGAAGGTTTGATACATTTATTAAAAGTAGCAATCTTTGCTTTTACGAGATAATTTTGGCAAATAAACTGAAACTCCATACGTCTATGAAGAGGTTTGTACTAACAGCTAAATGCTCTGTTTCAGGCCTGAAAAGGTCAGAGACTTTGCATCAACGAAAGAAAAATTTGTAAATAATTACGTTTGTCATTCTGATATTCAACGCAACAATCCACTACTATTCCGTTTGTGTTAAATTCAGTGAAGGATTTTGTATGTAAAACATTTGCATATCAGAGTTACACGCTACCGAACAAACAGATTATTTCGTCTTTCTTGCATATTTTTTGCCGCATTGTTAAACAATTTATTTCTGAAAGCTATATTTTCATCGAAATGAAGTAAATTAGAAAAATGAAGATTGGACAAAAAACCCGAAATCAAACGTCAGAACGATCAGGAAGAAAGCATTGCAACAATTGTTATTACAATTTCCTCGTGCAACTAAATCAATAAAGTTGAATAAGCTTTCTATCTTTCCGATATTGAAGTAGGTTATCGTTGCAGCTCACATCTCAACATCTCATGTTTCTCGTATTAATGCATTTCCTAAGCCAGACAGAGAAAGATCAAATCAAAAACGAAAAAACAAGTAGTCTTTTCGAAGGTATACGGCATGGCGAAACAGATTTTATCTCTATTCCAGTCAAATCAGATCAATTTATAAATGACATAGTGAATAACCGACACTTGAGGAGCCGAAAAAATCAGTCGACTGATGAATCTCTATGAGCGACGGATTATGGCTCAAGAATAGCTCATGAAACATGCAACTCTGTGACAAAACACAATCAGACAAACACATAGTTCTATGACAATCAGAATGAGATCAGCAATGAAAAATGATTTGCAACAGGTTAATCTGGACGACAAAGATTAACCTTGTGCAAATATACGGAAAAAGTCTAATCCAGACTTCAGTTGTCTTCTGCCGAAGCTCAGACTCTGGCACAGGATCGGGAAAGTTTGAAGCTCTGTCTGACGCGCCCGCCCCCGCGACACGAAAGGATAAGCGGCAATGGAAGACGAAGATGAAAAATGATCAAGTAAACCAACCATTGCAATATGTGGAATCTATATCTGAATGTGGAGATACTGATTCGGGATTAAGCGCGAAAACATGTGATTGAACCATGAAGTTTTTATGTGCATATTGTACACGAGCAGACAATATTGATGTTGTCACTTCTGTTGCTGTCGCCAACGCAACTGATTACAACAACTAAATTCAGTGTATAATTTTGTTCTGCAACATGTTTGCCCATACCAATACATTTCTTCTGGGAAGTCTTAAATCACATGCATGATTTACAAACAGCAATGACACACGCCAAAGAGGAAGTAGGACTCAAACGAGCTATTCTGCACACCCGACGAGTTTTATCTTTCCGAATCTGCAAAATAACCTTTCATTTGCTAAGTGATCCCTGTTCGGACTGGCATTTAACTAGACAATCTGCGTTAAAGGGATCATTATCGTATATCGCAGAATTAAAACAAGAAACAGAGTAGAAAGGAAAGTGATCGATCGACAGTAGTAAGATATGACGCTCGCATAATATTGTTATCACATGTGCATATCTATGACTTCATCTTGCATGGTCGCATGGCGTTGAACCAAAATCATGAACATTTCACGACAGTGCAAATCCATTCTACCGTAAAGTATGAATTTAAAAAGTTGGACGAAACAAGAAGAGCTCTTCCTGTAAAACTTAAATAAATAATCCTACGTTCAAATTGTGAACATATATCGGTAAAATTTCATTAAAAAGTTTGTAGTATTTAGACTTTTATGGTGCCACCAAAACCTGAGATTTGCAAAATTAATTATGGAAAGTTGTAAAACTGGTACGATAGCTGATGTCAAAAACAATTTGATGTTCATGCAGATGGCAATTAACGAATTGGCTGTGGAAAAAATTGCGCACAATTTTCCAAATACTGCTTTTAAATATCACGCTTAGTGTCTAGCTATTCTCGCTTCTCACCTAAACACACAAATTGTTCTGATTTTTGCCCGTCATTATGCGGAGAATAAACACAAACGGATGATATTGTTTTTCAAGGGCAACATCTGGGCGATGACCATTACTCGAGTATTTCTCATGAAATTCCCCGAATCTCTGTAGTGTTTAAAAAATTCTGATTGTCTAATAAGAATCAATAATTTTTTTCTGAAATGTTGCATGCATTATCAAAAACTTTAGGTCTTAGCCGCATTACAGTTGCTCTGTACGCCTCTTTATACAGAAACATATCATTCAAAATAATCTAAATAATGTGAACAGAATTGGCCCTGACATAAATCATATTTGCAACAAAAATACATCGGTAAGTGTTGAGGGGGGATTCTGATTATTAAGAAGCACTTTTTCGAACATCAGGGACTGCAATGAAGATAAATTTATTTCCGCCGTCCAGAGAACCGTTATATGAACGAATTCAACGTAACACGGATAAAATATTACCAGTAACTCCTTTGTTATTAAAATTATCGATAATGTTTGCATATGCTCACTTAAAAAAAGTTAAACAGAGACGAATTTTCACGTTGACGTAGCACTCGCTGAGCAGAAAATTTGTGCGAATCCATGTCGAAATATTGCGTATTGTTATTGGTTAAAATGCGCTTAGTTATTTACTTGCATAAGGTGTTATTAACGAATTAAAATTTTAGCATACTAATTTCTTAAAAGAGATTCAGAATGGAAAGTTTCGGGCATATTTATTAAAAGTACGTAACAGCAGACCTACATCTTATTTGACAGTTAGACCGTAGTATTTGAAATATAAGGCACTGCTGAATTTCACTGAGTCGAGTGCAAGTAATTATGTTGAAGCAATTATTTTTGCATAACTATTTTTCAAGCCATAAAATTAAATTTAGTAGGATTCACTTCAAATTCGAAATGCGCGGGCAAATATATTTTGTGATTTCTGCAGCAAAAAGATTGCATATTCTGAACCCGCAATTATTTTTCATAACAATTAATAAAGAAACGTTTTTAATAATAGACGCCAATAATAGCGTTCTGTATTATTTTATATTTTTCAACGTGGTTACATTTTTAACCGAGACATTTACAGTTGAAACTACGAGAATCACAAATCGTGACGACAGGTTACAATAACTTAATTCTTATAACAAATATCCGGAGCTTAAAATTTAAAAATCAATCGATCAGTCAGTCTAACGGTGTGCTTGCTTGATTGTGGTTATTCGATGGCTTGTTTAAATGTAAGGGATCAAAATAAACCTGCTGATTTTAAGGGAAAATTATAAGATATAGTTTTAGGATAACATCATGATTTTGTCTACACAACGTCGTACTTCAATTGTGGATTTGCCAGTGGAGGTGTTATTTAAAATTTTTGGGTTTTGTACACGTAAGGATTTCGCTGTTTGTTGTTTGTTGGTACTGTTATAGTCTAAATTTCAGCGGAACAGTTGGTTGCTTTGGCATCTACAAGTCGATTTTTTCACGCGAAAGTTGGCAATTTTGTATGGAATAGCGGTTTTTCTCGTTACATTCGAAAAATTCAACTTAATCCGCCTCTGGATCATGTTCATTTTCCAGTTGTTTCGTTGCTAGGAACATTCAGCTCAGAGCAGATATTATATTTAACAGTATATGCATCCATTGGATCTCTCCTCAGGGTCATTACGTCTTTGTATGCGTCTAATATGCGCTTGGAAATGATTGGGCGGTTTTATCATTCGGTAAATTTTAATATTTATTGTCTTATGTCAAAATCTAAATGTTACGTTTGTTTTGCTTTAATTATTACTTAAAGGACAATTTTAAACTCTTGTGATCATCACTGAACGAATTCAAATAAAAATTTTTTCAAATTATCGCGCCGTTCGATGGCGATTATTAAATATCGGAAATCGGGGTTAAATTTTGTGCTGATTATAACCTTGCATAGTTTGCTCTCAGGTGGCCCAAGACGAAATGCAGTCACAAGGGTGCTTGGATCAGACAACCTGGCTATCACCTCTTTCATTCTGGCATGGCCAGACCGGGATACCACGCTATTCTTATCATTCGCAGCCACTGTCTTAGTACCCGGTTCTTGGCTAGTGGCGCCGAGCCAACATTAGGTCAGTTCCTTGCTTACGGAAGTTCGTGGTTACGACAATGATTGTCTCTTGAGCGGACTTGAACCCGGTACCTCCGGAGTTGAAAGCTGACCTCTTAACCACTGTGATACCAAAGTAAATGTAAATTATTTGCATCGAAGTTTCCTGTGAACCTTCATTTATTTCGTTGCTAAGTGCAATAAACAGTCGAATCAATATGATCGTTGATCAAAACATTAAATGACCTACGTTCTGCCAACATTTTCTACCTTTTGCGATTCTTTACGTTAAGGATATTTATTTAAACCGATTTAATGTAATGGACCCGATGTAATTTACTCGCACTTCTTTTCAAGTCGTAATTTAATAGCAAATCTTTTGAAACCGCGTAATTTGAAGGTTCTTGATGAGAGACGTATTTCATCTCTGAGATGACAGTGCTTCAATACTGGTCGCAGTTGTCCCTGAATGACCTTTGGATGGGGTTTTATAATGTCGCGCCTTCTCCGAATTCCAATCTTACTTTTCAGCCGCCGTATTTTACCGCTGTCTAATACTTCCATTGTACCATGAAGTTTCTTACTCTTCAATATCCTCCGAGCACCTCCACAGGTAGCGGACAGCGTAATGACCTACCTTCAGATATGCGGATTAGAATATGATGAACAAACAGTCACAGCAGTCCCAGGGGTAGCGATTAACGGCAGAAAGCTGTTGTGAAACTCGTCAAAAAAGCATAGCCGATGCAAACCAAGCAGAATTTCTGTCATATGAACTCTTCACTAAGTTCTTTGCTCTACCGGGTCTTTTGTCAAGCAGTTGATTTACGATGTTCTACTGGACAGTTCAGTTATCGGCTCGCACACTTGATTCTGGAAACGTCGGATTAGATTCAGTTGCTGTAGTAGTTCTGGTTCTTTCATACGTCATGTAACCTTGGCGCCATAGATCAACTATGTGAATTCTGATCATAGTTTTTACTAATCCTGTTTTCGTTGTTGTTTCTTATTTGATTTTATCCACGCCGAAAAGCGAATTTTATTGATTATGTTTTTCAAACAGAATTTTCACTTTCGTCCTTTCGATTCCTGCTAGTGGATCAGTCGGTGGAAAATCGAATTAATGATCGAGCGATAGTTTGGGTATAAATGCTTGCCACAGTCAGTCGCTATTCATTTATTCATCACGCTGTATTTTGCAAGAATTGCGCGCACACAGACACATGGAGTTTCCAATCATTATAGGCATCAGTTCTCTTCAGAGAAGAAAGAATATACTTGGTGTTATGGCGACGCTCCGTAGCTCTGCATTATTTGTCGACGCTGTTCCCTAGAAACTACTAGAAACGTTTTCTCTTCCTGGGTAATTCCTCATACTTAAACCTGAGTGATTCTTCATTGTGGTCTTGCTACGGCTGCGTAAAATTAAGTTTCATATCAACGCGATTAAGTCTTGTAATAATATAAAATTTTGCTGATAAAAACATGCTGCTATTTTGGCTAGTTTTCGAGGCATAAAGTGTTTTCTTATATTGAATACTCCTACTTTAATTAGGTTTTCGTCTTTTGATTTCAAAAATGGATGTTGCAGCTTACACTGATCCATATTTTATAGCAACTGAAATGATAAATATGGAATTTAGGACTTTTAATGTTAAAAAATTAAAATTTAGATGTTCGTATTTTCTGTTTCTCTTGCACGCATAGGCCATGGCAAAAGAAAGGGCGCTAAAAATTGTTATTTACGCAATATTAAGAAATAAATGATGAATTCGCTATGTTGTCATTATGTAAACTTTCAGATTTACTCAGATGTTGATGGCAATATTTTCAATACTGCAGTTCGCTCTGTATCACTGATTAGCTATAATATTAGTACATTATAATTCAAAGGTACTGTTTTCAATTTTTTGCTCTGTTTTCACAGCCATTTTGAATGTATAGTTTGATGTTTCACTTTTAGCAGCTAATTTTGATAATTAGACATACGGCTGCATTATTATTATCCTACTATTATTAACCTGTCTATCATAGATGAAGTGTTTGAAAACAAGCCCAGATTTTATTAGCTCTTATGATGAAATATTTTAGGTTCCTATATAATTAATTTTACTTCTATTTTGTAATTGAAATGTCTGGTTTTATTTTTTGCACTTTTAAGCGACTTTTTATAGTGTGGCCCTCGCAATCTTGCTGCCAACCCCATGGAAACTCGTGCTTGGGGAGTCGTCTTATTGACGTTGGTGCGAGGGTGGAATTGTTATGAATGCGAAAGATTATATGAAGTGATTAAAGGCTTCCAACAATGCCAGCTCGGAAAGATGCTGGAAACTATCTTGGCCAGTGAGGAAGGTATATGAATTCGAAATGCTGTTGAATATTCAGAACCTTTCGGTTAGACTTAATTATTAATACAGAATCTATCAGTCATGTGATTAAGTCATCTGTTAATTTAGTTTGTGAAGTACAGCTAAACTCTTTCTTAACATTTAGCTTTCCTAATGGTGCCTGTGCTAAAATAATACTTGTTTTACAAGATTTTTCCATCCCCTCATTTCCTGCCCAATGTCATTCGTGGTCTTGTTTAGAGCAGTAGTCTCTGAACCATATAGTATCTTTAATCTGATAGGAATTGAATGTTGGATGTGTAGAAATGGATACTTCTTTGCCATTGTAAATGCATATTATACTGACCGATGAAAGTGTTGGAAGCAAGAATTGATTAAATGCATTGATCTTTCTGTGCAATCGAATCTGTATAATGCAATCAGACCAAATTCTTAGCATATATTGCAAAAAAAGCCCAAAAACTATAGTGTTGTTTTGTTGTCTGATTTGTATTTCCTATTATCAGGGTTATTCAGAAACAAGTGCATGAGTTGAAGATGAAATAATTTGTGATTCTATGATTAGCGACACGAAAAAGTTAATAACCTTTTTTTGCGGACCTATTGTCAAAGTTCTGAATGCTCTCAGCGTGAGCCTCTCCTTCGGCGTTATTCAGGCATATGATGAGATTGTCACAGTGGAGTTTTGCCAGACGCACTCTCTTGATAAAGCCCCAGTTGAAAGCTGCTCAGGGGCAGATGGTTCGAATATATAGAAGACGTATCGTAGTTGCGCCTTCGAATCCAGACCGTTAAACGTTTCCATTTGATGACAGACCAGAAATATTGTTTAGGCCTCCCTGCAGTAGCTACCAGCGCAACCAAAAAGATATGAACGATTCAGGCATGAATGAACTTGGCGGACTAACGTTTTTATCGTTATCAGGACCATCACTGCACGCTGATGGCGACCAATATACAGGAGGTTGAAACGTCGGTCAGCTAAATGAAATATATCACAAAGCACCATGTTACCATTTTAAACCTTGAAAAATGTCAGATCAGTCTTAGTTACTTCTAGGTAGTACGTGCAC